GAACAGTTTGCACTGAAACTGTCTTTTGGACCTTGAACCGTTTGGTTCCCATTGAAGTCCATTATATGGAGAAAATCCTGGAATGTTTTCATCAAAAACCTTAATTTCTTTTCGACTGAAGAAAGAATGACATGGACATCTTGGATGACATGAAGGTGAGTAAATTATCAGCAAAAGTTTTTTCAAAAGTGAACTACTCCTTTAAGTGCTCAATTGTGGAATATCTGAAATATATTTTTGAGGGCAATTTTAAAAGTGTGGCTTCAACTAGGGCTGCATGATTTGGGGGAAATATCAAATTGCGATTTTGCGGATAAAAATGCAGAGATTATGACGGAAAAAATTACAGGTTTGCTTGTGCTTGTTTTGTAAGGCTATTAAAAAAATTTAATTATTAAAAAAAATGTATAAATAAAAATATATAAATTACTAAATTAAAACAAAATAAGAAACAGTAATCTTGCAAGATTTCACTGTAAAATAAAAAAAAAGAATATTTAAAAAACGTAATATGATAATTATGATAATCATTTTATTTTGTATTACACACTCTAAAAATGCTGGGTTGTTTCAACCCATGTTTAGGTCAAATATGGACAAACCCAACCATTGGGTTTAAAAAATTAATAAAAAAATGTAAACCAATGGTTGGTTTTGTTTATATGTGACCCAAACACAGGTTGAAAAAAAACATCATTTTTTAGAGTACACCTGTAAAATTAAAATACTAATATTTATGTCTTTTTTTCATTTTCAAATATTTCAAATCACACTTCAATTAAACATGCAGCATTGCAACATGCTTATTTATTAGCTCATTTGAAAATCCAATCAGTTTCATTTCAATTCAATCATGGAGCCCTTGTTTAAAGACTTGGAAAAGTCATGGAAATTCTATGGATTTTTACAATTATGAAATGTAAAGATCATCTATAGAAAATTTCATCAGCTAGAAACTGTTCTTTCGTTATCCACTTGACTGCAAATTTCAGAGAAAATGATTGGCCAGAATTTGTGGAAACCCTGAAGGATTTACATTAGGGTGTAAGGAAACTTCTTTCTTCAGACTTGTGATAGTGACATCTGTGACTGTTGATTACCTCGACACTCTCCTCCACCTCAATGCCTCCATCCTGATCGTCATCCATCTCTCTGTGGATGTGTTGAAGAGCCTCCAGACTGAAGCGGTCAGCCTCCGTCACACATGTAGGGCTCACTTGCAGACATGGATCTGTGGTGAAAGGAGGAGTTAAGCAATCCAATAAACACTTGCAATGTCAACATGTTATCAAGAGGCATCATTATCTTTTACAACAACATCTCATTCATATCCCTGTTGTTTCTCCAAAAGAGTAATACGATTAAATAGAGAGCAAATTTTGTAAAATCTTTACAATGTCCCAAACAGGTTCAGTATGAATTCTGTCGACAATGTCTTCCATTAAAAAATGAACTGACAACACCTTCATTGTTTTGTTCAATGCTTTGACTGTGTAAATTGTTTAATGTGTCCATTTTTAATCCCCCTGAATTAATAATACTCAAATGACTGTCATTATGGTAAAACTTTACATTGCAGTGTCACACATACATTTTGTGTAAATGTGATTTTTTTTAAACCAATTATGTGATTTTTTGGGGGAAATCTCCCAAAAGAGACTGACTGAGGCCCTGTTTCACAGACAGGGTTAGAATAAACCAGGATTAGTTTAGTTACATAAGGGCATTTTAATTGCTTTTATATAAAACATTACTGGTGCACATCTTGAGACAAAACAATGGCACTGTCATATTTTAAGCTATGTCAGACTCTATGTCAGAGCTTTCATTTGAAAACGGTCAAACATGCATAGTCTAAAGCTATAAGCCTTCTTTGAAAACAGATATGCAATTATTTTGTAGGCTATACCTGAACTTTTTATATTATTTCTGCTTGCTAATAATCACATAATGCAGGGAGCATTCTGAGGCTTAGCAAAAAATAACTTTATGAATATTAACATCATCTGGTCGTGCACACGTGCCTGTTGAGGTCACAGATGTGTCCCTGTACAGTCCCGTGTGCTGCTGCTCGTCGCCGGAACAGAAGCAGAGGATCAGCCCGCGCAGCACGAGCAGGACGGTGAGGCAGAACTTCTGCATCGCAGGCTTCAAGTGCCACTGTCTATGATTTAAAAAACATATGTGCGTCCAAATGTAACGTTACGTGATAGTTCTATAAACAGCTCCAGCTCCAAGAAAAGGTGTCGTCCGTCGGTTAGAAAAGCAACAGTGTGGGCATTTAAAAAAAATATATGTGTATGTATATAATATATCACACACACACAAAAATGAAAAACTGTTCGAAATATTTGTTTACAACTCCAAAGAATAAGTCACGACGTTTAAAAAGGTAGATACATCCCAACATCTGGTTTTGCCAATGACGTTTTGTTGTTACATTCCAAAGAATTGGCGGAACCAAGTAAACATATTATAACAAAACTTAAATAACGTTACTGAGTCTAAAGAAAGAACGTTCCGCTTTTAAAATACGGCGTTGGAATGAAAATACGATGACCGAGAATAGAAGTCCTTCGGAAAGTCAGGTTCCTGAATATGAATAAAACTTCCGATAGTATTTCTCTCTGGGAACGTTTGGATAAGGCGTGTCCGTTAAAGTGTACCAGTTACTAAATGTCACAAACTTTGTAAGCTCGTATTTAGCATGCGTCTGCTCTTCCAAAGCCAAACGCGAATTTACTAATCCTTAAACGGCGTCTGACTCATGAATATTAATAAGATTGCGTGGCGCTTGCCAAGTAAACTGATTTGCTTAGGTTGACGTTGTCTTGAGTTATGAATATTAATTTGTTTACGTAATTAGGCGCTCCAAGAACATTATCAAGGAACTTAAAAAAAAAAAAAAAGGAACTTGAGCATTAACAAAAAAAAAAAAAAAAAAACTTCAGCAATACTCTCTTTATTGGTGTTATTCTCAACTATTGTAATGTGAAACTTACACATTAAAAAATTTACCTATATAATAACATTTTTATTTAAGGCTAAATGACGTGTTCTTGAATAGACTGAACATATAATGGACCATATAATTTGTGAATCATTTCAAAATAAATAATTTTTGGGAATTCAAATGAAAAATTCTAAGAAGTTTTAACTACTTTGATAGCCTATATTTTATTGTAATTTATATAACATTTATTTATTTATGGTCCAATGTTGTTTTTGGCCCTACTGACTCCCATTTGAATTAACAAAAACAGTTGAAATATTTAATTTTTTTTTTTTTTTAATTTGACCAATTTTGGGGGGTGAACCATCTCTTTAAAAACAAAAAAAAAAAACATGTTACTCAAATAGCAAATCTACACCCACTCTAGAATTATGAAATGACAGTTAGACAATATTAACCAATCGTAATTAATACCCATTCATCAAGAGCATTCAAATTGGAGGGATTGAATAAAACAAACCCTACACATTTACTTTCTCATATAGGTCCAGTACACATATTGGTCTCTGAATTAAATTTAGAGCCCTATCAGATTAACATGGTTGAAGACTCATACACAGCAACAGAAAGAAAGCTTCAGGTTACATCTCAACAACCCCATAAGGTCTAAAAATAAAACTGGGGCATGAGCGAGTGGATGCCAAGCAGTGGGAGAAACATTTGGCACTTAAAGCACAAGTGACAGGTGTCTCTCATTGTAATTCAGGGCAAACTCACTTCAAAGTGAATGAGAGAAAAATAATCTAATGTCTGCCCCTGGTGGCCAGCATAGATGCCATCAATCTATTATGTAAAAAAAAAAAAAATCTCTAGGTTTGGTTGTATGCGTGTAATAAGCTAACATTTTTTGTTGATGAGAACAGGTTGAGTACCGTCCAAATTCCCTTTATGGTGCTATTTTTTGTCCCAGCAGTTAGTGCTTGGAGATGAATATATGGGATTGGGATTCCATCATATTTACACATCCCTGATAACCTGTTAAGAGAGTTTAGAGGTACTATCATTTTAAGAGTCTTAGCAGTAATGAGAGCCAATTTATTGTTGGCACTCAATCCACTTCCCTACTGTAAAGACTTGCATCTCAATTTATATTGTGACCAATGAGAATGATAAACAGTGGGTATGTTCGGAATGGTATACCAACATACTACTATTACAGTGTTTCCAACACTGCATGACTAAACCAAGGATTCTCCCCCCACAAAAAAGCAATTGTAGGACCCTGGTTTTTCAAAAGTACCCCACATTTTGGATATCCCTTATTTAAAAAAAAAAAAAAAAAAAAACATCAAAAGGTCTTGGGCTGCATTTAAGTACGCTTTTTTGTGCCCTTCCCTTGCTAACTTCCCTCCATTTTGATCACTCGGAGGTAAGTCATTACTTATATTGCATACTGGCAGAATCCCTGCAATGGGAGACCCAAAGTCCTTGATCACTTGAATCTGCTATGGAGCTGTAGTGTTTTATCTCAGTAAAACTCTTCTAAACTGCTGAAATGCCCTAACTTAACTTACAGCTGTAGACTTTTCCCTCCATTGATTGAATCATGTATGTGGGTAAATTAAGTGTAGTTTTACAGTGTTGTCTATGTATCTGCCTGTAGTGTACACTCCAGATGCATACACTCCGTCGGTAAAAATAAACTTCCCTTGTCCACTTGAAGTTGAACGCACTTTAAAATGGAAATGCTTAGGGAAGTTTGTGAGCGGATTGGTGTTAAAATCCACCTTGGAATCTTTATAACAAGCCAAGCTGATGAGTTTCATCAGTTTTGTTTGATTAGGGCACTATAAACTGTGCAGTGTTTACAATGGCACGAGTGTGAGAAAACGGTCAAGTTTTTTTGTTTTTGGTTAAACCATCCCTCAAGTACATACATCCCTCAAATCTTCATACCACACCTCCATGATGGTTTTGCATCATACACTCAATTTAAAGCAGTAAAGACAAAAATAAATGAACAACTTGACGCTTTTTGAATCTATTACAGTGTTTAGTGATCCATTCCAACAGCAATAGATACACTGGCCCTTTAGGAGTTAGACAGCACCAATACAGTTCAAATCTGCTAGAGCATGCACTCAAAACCAGAATGGCTGGTAGCCAGTTGGCAAATGCTGGTAACTTCCAAAATGTAAAACAATCCATTAAACGGTTGAGAAAACAAATTCTCGTCCTTTTTTTCTACAGACAAAACCAACAAAGATAACAGTGATCTAAAACACTAGTTTCTGCTCAATGTAAGCACAGTGGCACATGTGACAGGCAACTAACTTACGTGATAATGAAAATGAAAGTCAACATGGTTAGTCTTGAAATTAACCATTCAGATCCTCTGATTCGAACACTCTGGAAGACAGCGGGATACAAGACAAAAAAAATAACACTGAAGACATACATGGAAAGGTTGTGTTTCTTTCACAATTTGACCTTTAGATTTGGCAGTTTCCATTTCGGCACTTCCACGTGATGATATGGTTTAACATTCTTCCCTGATTGAGGAATTGAATGAAATAGCTCACAATAGATACAAGTTAATGGCTTTGCAAGAACTACTGGGTTTTGGCTTTTATTTCTCAAGGCCTGACCGTTTAAAAAAAGATTTTAAAAGTGACATACAAAAGACAGTAATTTTCCCTCAATCATGGAAGAAATTTTGAAATTTTAACATAACCATTATTATAATTTCATACCATTATACAATAAAAAAATTATATAAAATGATCAATATAATTTTTAGACAAACTCATATATTAATATTAGCCATGGAAGAAACTGATAAATTAAAAACCAAAACCATTGAGGAACCACTTCTGTTCCTATACAAATCCCAAACAGTAACAAAATGCAATCCATACCGATTGAAAGCAAATTCCAGAGCAAACTATTTCACGGGTGTCTCTTCTTCTCTGTTCAAATGATGCACATAGACTTGGATGGGGGTGGGATATTTAAACAGGACAACAAGAAGAAACAAAAGATCCACAGAAAGCAGATTTGAGATCGACTTTTTCCTGTGACATTGAAAAGGGTATAAAAAAAATCATGCCCTTTTTAAAAAAAGAGAGCATAATTTGTAGTGTAATATCTTACCACCAGATCCAGTAAATAAGCAGTAGTGGTTTAAGGCCTCATTTTTAGTTTACTTTTTGATACAGCTATTACAGAAGAGAACATTTGGTACTAAACATTGTCAATTTAATAGGGGTCATTTTTTATGTACATTAAGGCCGTGTCACTTCTGCGGTTTCATAAATCAAAACATATGAACGGTAGGATAAGATTCTGTTGTCCGTACCCTACAAGCCAAACATCTTCACGCAGGAATGCGATAAGTGCTTTTCGCGGTTATTTCCATTCAGATTCACACCGATATGCTAGTTGACTACAAGCAAAGACAAACTAGTCAATTAGTGAGGATGACTAGTTCATCTAAATTTTTTGTACAACCACCATTCACGTTTAAAAAAAAAAAATCCATTTGAGCATCCCAGTATGAGTGTTGTTTTTAACTAAATGTCACATTTAATAAAGTGGTTACCTACATAAATTAAAAATTGTTCCGATTGTGCTCCATTTAGCTGTTTTCAAACACAAGTGCACCTTATGTAAACTCCTAAGAAAAACGTCTGATCAGAGTAAGGTGAACGAGAAAACAACCAAATTACAAGGCTTTACAAGACCAATTAGTCAATAAACGGAGCAATTCCAAGAGGGTCCTCGCACCATCTGTGCTCGGGCCCTAACTAGTCAGTCAGGTAAACCACTAATTGGCTTGTTCTGAAAAGAAGTAATTTTGCACACGCCTTTCTAGAAGCACAAAGAGTCCAAACTTTCATTCATTCCTTGACAAAAACAGACAGGGCTACTTGTAACTGTACTTACAGAATCCCCACAATCCCTTCTCTATATGGTTCAACCACATGACAACAAAGCAGCAATTTTCCTACACAATGATTTTAGTATGATACTATGACACTGAAAGCATGAATGATATGCAAACGTGACCGGTACAGTCCTTCCCTACCACAGGATTTGAATAAACCAATTAATTAGAAATCGCTGACCCCCCAAACAGAGCAACAAAAGGATTTTGTGCGCTTATGTTCAACTAAAGGTAATCCATTTGGTGTGGGATATTTTTATGCTGGGAGTTTGAACATCTATATAGCCAATGAAAAGGGCCAGATCAATGGCTATGTGTATCTGTTGAGTAGAATATGGCACATAAGGCCTACCAGCAAAGTCAGTTAAAGCTTTTGTGTTAAAGACATCATATGAGAAAAGTTTAACAAAGCAGAAGAGTCACCTTCTCCCAAATAATGGCAACAATATTACACCTGTTTAGTGAAAAAAAAAAAAGAATGGGGGAAGAAAAAAAAAAAAAAAAAGACTACTATACATGACCAAAACATTACAAAAGAGACAAGGATCTGGTGAAACTCCAGAAGACTTAAGGCATTTGCCAAGACGGGTAAAGGCAGCTATAAGTTCAGGCTTTCAAAACACACAAACCTCTTCCTTCTGAGCCCAAATGCTCATAAGAAATATACAAAACTATTTGGTAACAAAAGTTTACTATATGTTATAAAACTTAAAAAGGTGAAAAATGTACCTTAGCTAAAGCTTATAAAATTATATATCAATAAAAATAATAATAATAATAATAATATTCCTTGGTCCGTAAAAACTATATTACTATGATAACTTTTCTTCCAAGCCTGGCGAAACAGTGCATTAAGCCCTTTAGTAGAAAACAACATCCCGCAAAGCCATTTCTGTCCTGCACTTACTTAGAAAAGGCTTTGTGTTGAAGAGGTGTTTTTTTTTGTTTGTTTGTGTTGTTGTTTTTTTTGACTGATTGTTTTTTTGTTTTCATGTAAGGCAATGCATTGATCCTGTGGCATCTTGATCCACGGCACACATCACTTCTGTTGCCACTTCCTCTGACATGAGGAAACAGATTTAACGAGAACCGCAACAAAGAGAGAGAAAAGAAAAGAGATGCCTTCATTTGTTTTGTCCAGTCTTTGAGTGAAGTCTTTTCTCTCCTTTGCTTCTCTCTCTGTGGCACCGTTTTTGTGATCAGTATCCCATGAATCTACGCAGGAAGTCTACAAACTGATGAATCGCCATCTCTCACAAAGGTTCACTTACTCGCACACGCAAACGCGCACCAAGATTCCCAGGTTAGGAGACGGACATAGCTGAAGAAGAGGAAGATGACGACACGCTGCCTGCTGCGTATCCTGCCTGGCTGTCGACAGCTGACTGCAGCAGTAGGCTGGAGGATGAAGATGGGGAGGTGGAGGAGTTGCTGTTGGCCCGCAGAATGGCTCCCGCAGCGCTGCAGTGAGGACGCGGTCCCGGCTCCGGCGTGTAGGTAAATGTCAAAGCCGTGGAGTAGATGATGCCGTCATTACGGACCAAAGTCACAGGAACCTGCACCGGCTGCCGAACCCAGCGCCACCCTTCGCGGAACGCAGAGATGTCAGGAACCACGCAGAGCACGCTTTCGCCACACCTGCAGGAAACGGTACATGATTGTCTTGTGAGTACGTATAAATTACTGACGAATATTCTTAAAGGGGAACTTGACAACTCTAGTAATTTCTTTGCTGATTTTCACTTTTGTTGTTGCATGTTCTCATCGAGCTCCCCCTAGAGCTGAGCGGTGTATATTTTCACAACACTGTCATGAAAAAAAAACTCAATTGCGGCACTTTCCTCCTGCTTTCTAATGCTGCCCATGTGCATCTGTTATTATCAGAGCCAGCCAACTTTATTGTGTGGGGATGTCTACCGAGGTGGGTAATACTTCAGTGCTTCACTGAGCTGCCAAAACTAAAACATTTTAAGCAAAATAAAACATTTTAAAATAGAAATTGCTAGTGTTGGCTCCAATGTTGTCCATTATTGTTCGTCGCCTGTTTTCTTGCGTTTATTTTACTGATGCTGATTGCCGTGGCCTCGTTTATACTGGATGTCTTGATGCCCAACTCTAATTTGTTGCCTATATCCAACTTTTTTGACCGTCCGTTTACACGTTCTTTAAATTGTGACCCATATCCGATTCATGCGTTTACACTTCTGTTTTGTTTACATGACAATCATATTGGGACATATCTGATTTAGATCTGATTTATTTCCACATATGAACGCCTCGTTCATATGAAACCAATCTCGAAATATCCAAATGCAAGCGTTGTTTTTTCCCGTTTACACGGTCATAGAACACATCTATCACATCTGAGCAAAAAAAAAAAAATCAGAATTTGGTCACATTTCACTGACAGTTTAAACGAGGCCTGATTCTCTGGTGCTCCGGTCACATTTTCAATCACACAGCGTGGAGCACGAGCAGTGTAGGCCTACAGGAATATCTGCCAATCAGAGGCAAAGCCAATCAGAGGCAAAGACCCATCCCATCTCTGTCTCTGATTGGTTTAGACCACGATATGATCCAACCATGAGTGTAAGTTTGGTCAAAGGAGAACAAACGCTTCGTTCGTGGAGAGGCATCGGATGCAAGGACGTTAGGTGCATCGGTGTGACCTAGGAAAAATTTTGGTCGCACTCTAGAGCCCTGTATGTACACATGTATTGAAATTCCTTTATGTATGTGGATCAATAGTTCTGAATTAGAGGTCAAACGATAATATATTTTGCTGAAACAATTATAATGGATTTAAGAAGGACAATAAACAGATTATTGTGCTGATACTAGAAAAGTTCTTAAGGCCCTGACATACTCGGAGTTCTTTTTCATTCATCGTGAATATAAGTACTACTATAATACTAATCCTCCTATTACACCTCAAGGACAGCATGAATCAAACTCAATTATGGCAGTCCTGATTTAACGGGAAATATTTTGTTATTTGCTGAACTGTACAGCAATGTGATTGGTGTGTTGGATTTACCTGTACATAGTGTCTGCCTCCACATCTCCGAACCAGACTCTGAGGTTAGGCGTGAAGTTCTGTCCTGTCAGTTCCAGCATGGCAACATCTCCTCCTCCATTCAGCTAGAAAATTCAGGGTTCAAGGTTACTAGATAACATGACAGATTTGCCATGCTCTTTTAACATGAAACAAATGTAATGAAGCCATTAACGTTATGTGTAGATATTATAAAAACATCTGGAATTGTTCACAGCACCTTTAAAGCCTTGATTGTGACTTGAAATTACCTGTAAACTCTCAACAACAGGAACAGGTGTGACAGGTGAGGGTACAGGGCCCATGCCCTCATAGAAAGTGTACTCTGCTTTGTCTGTGCTGATGATTGTCCATGACGCCCCATCGTTGATCATTTCTTTGTTTGTTTCTTTGGGACAGGGTGTGGCCTGAGAATAGTTAAAGAAAAAAGAAAAAACATATATTTTAATTGTTTACCATTAAAAAATACCATAGAGCCTGTAAAAAAAATTCAAAGACTAATTTCAGTAGAGGAAGTTTTATTTTCATTGCAATTCTAAAACAGATGTAATGTTTTCAATTATAGTGCATTATTTTACATCCAAACATTCTAAAAAAAAAAAGAAGTTTTTTTTAAATGAAGCAAATCTAAAAAGAATGAGTTAAATATTTAAAAACTGTATGAATCTAATAAAGTTTCTGTAACAATGGACTGACCTGGAACTGAATTATCCTCTCCTGTGACAGGCAGAGGTACATCCTCTCTGTATCTTTAAGGTAGAAGGCACATTTATGTAGTTGGGACACAGGATCGTCGGCATCCATTAGTGCGGTCTGCTTGTCCACTTTACGAATAACCTACACACAAACACGCAACATTTCACCTTCTAAAAAATACTTGCAATGTACATAGCATTACACATATTTGCAAAGACATTATATGACGTAAATTCAGTGACACAACAATACATAATTCCATGATTGAATAGGACACACTTTCTTAGCCCAGCCCTTTTAATCATGAATGATCATGAACAATAAAGTGGATAATAGCTCACCAATCGGGGTAGAGCCATGCCTGTCACAGAGCACACCAGCTTCACCGTCTGACCATAATGGATGTAACCGTCTCTGACTGTAAACTCTTCTCCCTCTGACTCATCATCATCCACTGAAATTAAAAATTACACATTATTACCAAATCATAATTAACAAACAAGAAAAACTGCATGTTCCACACATTCTTTCATTAGACATAATGAACTTTGCAACTAAGGCTCAATATCAATATTATTGTGTTTAATAGACACTTGTGGTAAATGACTCACATAGGTGAATGTAGAAGGCTCCCCACTGTTGTGAACTAGCATGAAAGTTTCCCCCTTCCACGTGAAGGTACCGCGTACTGACAGTCTGAGACCGCAAGCGGTTGAAGAGAGCCACCTTCGTCCCAGAAGCTATGCATACTAGGAGAAATGAAAAAAATGAACTGAGCAAAAATTATGGTCAAATCTCATTTAGTGACATAAATGAGAAATTCAGTTGACTCACGGTCTGCATTCTTCAATGACTGCTTCTTTTTGGAAGGTTTGGAGATGACCTTGATTCGTTTGCTGAGGAAGACACCGATATCTGCGCTATTCCCGTAAAACATTTTCACTGACAACATGAAGTGCTTACGTTTGTCCGAGTCCGAAATGTACAAAGTTTTTGCTGTGCAAAAATTCTGCAGAAGAAAAGCACAGAGGATAATGATGACAGGATGCATTTATTTTAAAGAGCAGTTACAGTATATGCATTGCAATAATAAAATCCATAAAGCACCTTGCCCTCCAAGTTGAGCTGCTGCATTTCTTGTTCACTGTTTCCAATGCCGATGAAAGCACAAGGCTGAGACTCTTGCTCCGAGCAGCCCTCTCTCTCCATCTGTTCCTTCTTTTTCTTCCAGCCACAACCCATAAGGTACACACATGGTGGAGGACAGAAGAATCTAACCAAATCCAAGAGAGTTTGAACTGATTAAAGCCTACCTTACTACCTACCTTACTTTACATTTAATGTGCAGACATTATGCATTAATGGTGCAGTAAGTGACTGTTGAAAAGTGGATGGGAACAAGCACCAAAAGACACTTGTAGCCAATTAGCAGTAAGGGACATATACACTCGTGATGGGGAGGAGAGCGAGCTCAGTGCACAAGACAGACATTAGCAGAACCTTCACTTGTTTGTTCATTTTCATTATTGAAAGTCTGTATCATCTAAACCTCCTCCAGCGCTCGTTTTAAGCAGCGCTCTCCCAAAGTGTGCCTGAAAAGTAAGACAACATATTCCTAATATGTTTTTTTCTTTTGGTTTCCCTTTTAGTGATAGCCATAACCTCTTAATCTTGTCACATTTGTAATATTCAAGGTACTTGAACAATCGTGTTGAGAGCTATTCGTAAAAACGGAGTATGTTTTTTGGGATGGACAGTATGACTTTGTCATCGAAAGAGTAGAGGAGACAAATAACAATTAGAGACTCAACCTGTATTATCAAATTGCTTTTACTTAATTTAATTGATGACACCATACCCTCAGGCAGCAGCCAGGCACAGTAGATTCCAACATAATTGTTGCCTGTGTTGCATAGCGTGTACGTGAATGTGGAGACGGAGGCATTGAGATAGGGATGTGATCTACCCAAAGGGATCACACCCCTATATTGATGGGCGTGTTTGTTTTGGTGATTTTAAATATCAACAGGGTTTACCAGAAATTGCTTACTGCACCTTTAACTGGACCTGACCAAAACTTAATTTAGTCAACATGAATAATGGGCATGTATTTATCACTCACAATAAAACCAGAAATGTGTATTAAACTTCATGTTTAATACTGTAGACTTTACAGTCTAAAATGCATGAGCTAATCATATTCATATATATGTTTTTGCAGCTGCAACTTATCACTCACCTTTTTTCATTGCCGTAGGACTTCTGTGCGACTTTTGCATGCAGTATGAGCACTGTCTGATCTCCTCTCTCCTTCAAGTAGTTACGCATCGCCTCTCTGCAAAATCACACAATAGAAAAGTTAATTTAAGTTGTAGTTTCCAAATGCATTTGATACACTTAACACATGGACTTCACGGTGCATTTACCTTGTTAAACGCTTTGGCTGAGGGAGCTCCCCAAACTTCCTACAAAACAAAATACAACACAGTTAAGAGACAATTCAAACATCACTTACTATTTAACGTTTCTCTATCAAACAATGCTGCCAAAGTCTGGTGACTGATCTGCCTACCAAGACAGCATATTTGCCAAGATAAACGAGCTTAAACGTGCAAAAGATGCCCACTAAGTATGTTTTGAGAGTCAGACAAAATAAAAATAAAAACTTAAAAGAAACACTAGCATTTTAGATAGCAGTGACGGGATAATACAAATACACTCTAAGTTTAACTGAAAAGTCTGACATGAAACAAAGACAAAAAATGTTAATCCCCTTGAAAGCTCCAAATCTATGTTATGGACTTACTAGACTGGCTAACATCTGCTACCTCTCTCTCTCTCTCTCTCTCTCTCTCTCTCTCTCTCTCTCTCTCGTACACCAACTCACAAGTTGCTAAATTTGTATAGTGCTACATGTATTTTTAAACTTAAACTATGTTAAAGTTCCAAAACATGTAAGTTAGTCAATACAACCTTACTGTGTTTACAGTTAAATATTAGCTCTCCGTAACATTCAATGTTTACGGAAAACTGCCGAAAATATATCAGCTAACTAAAAGCTAAGCGGCTAACTGAATAAAAGAGACCATCGTTGAAAACCTCAAAAATCAGACAAAAGTACGCTGAAACGGGGAACCAGCACAGAAACACACGACCAGGGTTGTAGATAAATAAACCAAACCAAGTTATCTTGACTAGACGGGTAAAACTTATTTCAGCTGTTACTTTTCCATGCCCCGTCCGTTAATAATTTCGCTGCTTACCCTGTCACAACAGGCGCCATCTTCACCAACTCTCTCTAATAACGCCAACAATCGCGAGATTTCCCCCGCTCCACACCACATTGCAACAGACTGCTTTTAGACGAGGGGGAGGGGCACTGTGAGAAATAAAGCAAGAAGGTGGGGGGTGGCACAGGCGTGGGAAAGTTCTGAAGTCACGCGAGATTTTCAGGTCGCTTATTATGGGAGCGGATGAGAGAGAGATCCTGTCATCGCGAGAGTGGGTTGCGGACGGCTGCCAGACAAACGCGTGTGAAAGTTCTCACGATGGGAAGACAGACCGCACCTTTTAAGCGCGGGCCGTGAGAAAAAGATTTCTGGAAGGAAGGAAGCCCGGGGACTGGTGTACCGACACCAGGAAATAGTGAATTGAAATGGATCAGTTAAAAAGGATGTTGTTAGTAAAAACTATTCTGTAAGAGTAGAATAGTTTAAGAATAGTTCAGTTGCATAATGTTACGTTCCAGGAATCATCATGAAAAGCACTAAATTACAAACCTACACATTATGTGGTGAAATGAATGCAATGGATCTGTAATATCCACTTAACTGTTTTCATATCACCAGATGGCAGTATTGCTTCAATGTGGCAATGCTGCTATGCCATGTGTTAAAATGAGCACAAGACGATGGCTGAGAAAAGATAGACATCAAACAATGTTTAAACAACAGGACAAAATATTCCAAATACTAGGGCACAGTCCCACACAACAATAGTGTCAGATGTAGATTCATATTTAAGTGCCTTTAATTTGTAGCCTAATATTATACACACTCACAAAAATGAACAAAATAATAAAAAACAGTGTTTTATTAATTTCCCTTTCATTTAACCCCTTTCATTACTTAACAAATACATTATTTCATGGTGGAACTGAGATTTTTATTTTTTTTCAACAACTAAACTTTAAACAACTAAACAACTAAATGGAGCTTCATATTAAATATGTACATATTTGCTATCATCAATAACATGGTTTGAAATCAGGAGGTATTTGATCTACTACGCAAAGAGCAAGCCATGATCATCATTGATCCCTTGAACAAGGCACTTAAAGGAGTAGTTCTTTTAAAAAAAAAACTTTTGCTGATAATTTACTCTCCCCCATGTCATCCAAGATGTCCATGTCATTCTTTCTTCAGTTGAAAAGAAATTAAGGTTTTTGATGAAAACATTCCAGGATTTTTCTCCATAGCCTGATGCACTTTACTGGTAACCGAACGGTTCAAGGTCCAAAAGACACATTCAGTGCAAACTGCAAACTGTTCAAAGGGCTTTAAATGATTCCAGATGATGAATAAGGGTCTTATCAAGCGAAAGGATCGCTCATTAAAAAAAAAAAAAAAAGTTTAAGTTTTATAAGCTCAAATGGTCGCCTTGCTCTGTTCCGTGATGTGTGTTCGTGACTCTCCTGTTCAAATATTTCAAACAAATATTTTCCAGAGTCAATTCCTTCATTTCGTTCGTTGAATGAACCAAATGACACGAAAAAAGATTCATTCATTTTAATGAACAAGTTCGAACAGGAGAGTCACGAATGCGCATCACAGAACAGAGCAAGGCGACCATTTGAGCTTATAAAACTTAAACTTTTTTTTTAATGAGGGATCGTTTCGCTTGATAAGACCCTTATTCATCGTCTGGAATCATTTAAATCCCTTTGAACAGTTTGCACTGAAACTGTCTTTTGGACTTTGAACCGTTTGGTTCCCACTGAAGTGCATTATATGGAGAAAAATCTTGGAATGTTTTCATCAAAAACCTTAATTTCTTTTCGACTGAAGAAAGAATACATGGACATCTTGGATGACATGTGGGTGAGTAAATTATCAGCAAAAGTTTTTTTTTTTTTTTTTTAAAGTGAATACTCCTTTAACTTCATCTTGATTTAGGACACTATTGCTAAAGTTCTTCGTTAAATGAACGACAATAAATTCAATACATTTTAATTAAGCATGTAGGTATTACATTTTATAGAAAATTTGCAAGCAATTTGAATATACTGAAATATACTTCATTAAAATTTGATCAGGGAAATATCACTGGCACTTCATAGTACCAGTCGGTACCAGTATGTGCCGGAATACAATTCAGATAACTGCCCCTTAATAGCATTATGTAGGCATTTAACTTGTGTAAGTTGTGAAATTGCCATTACACTAAAAGATCAAAGGTTTAAGAACATAGTCCTAGTTTCTTCTTGTAACACAATGTCTTGGATCATTTGACATTAAGATTACTTGCTCACCTGTCTTTTTAACGTTTCATTTTCTCAAATACTGATGGTTCAGATTTAAAAAAAAAACCTTTTAATTTTAATAATATATTTGAGGTTCATGGATGGGAAAAAAAAGTAACAGAACACTTAACTCGCATTTAAAATAAAAATGTTTTTGGATATATTTCTATATATACTGGTTACGATAAGTATCCATATAGTTTGAGATGTATTAAGAGATTCTGGTTTACGCTAATATTGTAATTGTACAATGCAGATTCAACAGGTTTTTAAAGGTTTTAAGAAATAACAAGCTCTCTATTTATCTTAATTCTTTCATGATGTCAATCGAGGTTCCCAAGGAGTACAAGTGAACAAGCAGAAACAAAAATGTCTGAGATCAAAATCTAATTACTAATTGTCCTTAAAGGCTTTACTCTGAGGGAGGCCCTGCACTTGTTTTATTCTCCAAGTCTCTTTAGGTATTAGTCAACAAACTGGCAATTTATCAAATTTTGAGGGCATGCATGTTTGTTTGCTAAACAACATACAGTAGGTTGAATTTTTTTTAAAGTAGATTAAAAGTAAATTGATTGAAATAAAACGTGATTGTTTTTTTTAAAAAATTCTACATAAATTAAATATTAAGTATACTATATGAAAAGAATATCCATTTTGAAAGCATTTTGAATGGCCAAAACAAAGAAGATGGGTCAAGTCCATGGAAGTTATCATATTTAATCATTAATGATCTTTTATTATCGAGGAAAGCACAAATGACACAGCAGGGTTCTAATAGGCCCTAGTACTTGGTAATCTATATAAATATTGCTGATACACACCACTGCAGGATAACATGTCCCACCATAAAGATAATACGGCCAAAAAGGGCAAAGCAGTTCCCATCTTCTCTCCTTCTCTGACTTTACTCCAGTTATTATCAATTTATTCCCAACTTTAACAACCTCCTCCTACCAATTCTTTTCTTTCTTGCAGGTCCTTAAATGGCAGTCTGCCATAAACACCATGATAAAGGATGAAACGGGCGACAGACAAAGCTTGAGTTAATTGCTTCAAATCGACCCAATGGCTATAAAAATACTGATGCATCATGAGTTTGTATGATAGAAGCAGTTGAAATACGACTGATAATGAGACTCCGAGAAGACGAATCATTAACCATGATAGAGGAAGCAATAAAATTGATGTAATATGTAATATTGCATAAATCAGCAAACAAGGGATGACAAGGACGATATGATTTGCTGAGGTTAAAAAACAAGGATGATATTTCTTTTATAGACCAAAAAAAAGTCACATCTGATCAGTTTTTATTAATCAACTTTAATCATTTACAGATGAAAAGTTCAAAAAGCTAAATTCTGTTTTCTCAGCACATAATACTTGCTTTCAAGAGGTGATGATAATGCTACTTTCATTATATCAGATATGTTGATTCTGTAATCACTCTGACGGAGTTCATTCAGTAGTTGAAAGATTCCAGCTCATAAGACTCAAATTTGTTTGTATAACAGACCACACTGGTTTAATAGTATATATTTGTGACTCACTACCATCATGCAGTCTAAAAATAATGGTTTATTGGCATTTATAGTACCATGAAAGAACCTTGGAACTTTTTGGAACTTTTACATTGCACAAAAGGTTCTTTAGATTTTTAAGCTGTCTTTCACACTAAGAAAAAACAGTTCTTTTAAGAATGGTTCACTGAAAGGAACCAACAATTCTTCTACTATTGCATCGCTGCTGTGAAAAATCCCTTTTGAAACTGGCTGTGGTGTATTTGGTTACATTTGTTTTTGTGAACAAGAGAGGAAGAGAACAAGTATGCATTATAGTTCATTGATGAAGTTCCTTCCACACATACATATTTTGTGATCAATGAAAGAAGTCATCACAATTGTATAAAACAACTGTAATCTGAACATGGGTGCTTGAAACCCTTTGGAGGGATGAATTCAGTTCATTTTTGGATTCTGAATACTTAATGTTATTACACTATAAAGAATATATTTTTATGATTTGTTATCACGTTTTTGCTTTTCTCAAATCAACTTAGATAATTTATGTGGTTCAGACAACATCATATTTTGAGTTTCTGTTGATTAAACAAATATTTATTTTAATAACAAAACAAAATGTTTAAAATTGTAAGGCAAGCAACCAAGTTAAACCAACAATATTTTTTTTACAGTGTACGTGGCAGGTCCAGACAAGACTGATGTTTGAGCCCTGATTATTTGCCCCTGAAATCCCCAAGAAATAAAATACAAATAAAATACCTATATACAAATATATAGGTCACAGATTTTAGAAATGATATATTTTAATATATATTAAATTGTGTTGTGTACATTGTACACGTTTAATGTGTATTTACAGTATTTTCCTATAGCTATTAGATACTTACAAAGAAAAAATATTTAATGTTTACACTTTTAAAATATTTAATGGCTTGCAGTATATTCCTTTCTTCAAGTCATACTTTCACTTTTTACAATAGTAGATCTACAAATTCATGACAGGTAAATTACACTTCAGAACCTACACTAATAACTGACTACAGAGCGAAGGAGCAGAAAATGATAAAGACATTGTCCTGTAGAATCATAATCAATGACAAAATGATTTGTCAACAATAGCAAAATTAATTCATCCTTGTTTATAAAATATGATATTATGTATGTACTGTACAGTTAAAATTTGCACTTTGCAGTACTGTACAGTAACAGACTACATTATGATCAGACTTAAGTCAATCTTTTCTCATGTAACACAGTGGAAGTTGTGTTTTGTAACACTAATACAATTATGAATACAGTAATTT